CCAACCAAAGATAGGTGTCCATCACGTCAAAAACGCCTTCCAGATGCATAAGATCCATAATTTTCTGCGGTGGAGAAAACGGCCAACCTAAAAGTATCTCATTAAGCTATCTAATTAAAAACATGGACGTATAACAACAATGAGTCAGAGATTCAGTCTGAAAAGATGATCCTTTCAAACATTAGTTTTCAATATGACCACAGTTTCCAACGTTCCCGATACTCTGACAGCGCTTAAGCTTCGGTAAAAGATAACTAGAGCCTAGAACAGGGTCCTTCAATACATTTGCCCATGTTAATCTTGGCCATTCCCGGGGTCTTCCGAAGGTAGCTTGGGCAAACAGTAGTTACCTCGTCATCCTTCCTTCCTGAAAGCAGCACACGCCTAAACCATCGCAGCAGTGACTTCTCAATTCGAAGAAGAAGCCGCTGCATCCGGATATCTGTACTCCAGACCGTGTAAAGACTCGTGAGCTCAAAGATATTTTTCAGAAAGCCCATCTTAAAAAATTTAATTTCTACAGTTTAATCATTTATTTTTTTTCTTTCATCTGTCTTTCATCATTTCTGATGACTTCGATTTTTTCGCCTTTTTTCCCTGCTGATTTCTGTTACCTGTGACTACGATATTTTTCCAGTAACAAAATTAATTTGCACTGAAGAAGCACCATTGTGGATTCTGAAAATTTCATTATATATACTTTTGCCAAGCTTCTAACCTTCTCGAACGCCGGGGTATTAAAGCAAAGAATTATTTTGCAGAATACCTTCATCCAAAAGATTGTCCCTTCTAGTTTAAAAAAAAACAATAAGAAAACTGGTTTAAAATTCGTTTCCTGGTCTGACAAAAAACTCAAATATACAACGCTATTTACCAATCAAACCACATAGCCATTCCCAAGTGAGCAGCTCGCCTCGGCTGAATTTGCGGGCGAAACGTAGGAACATCGTACATACGAAAGGCAGCTTGCGGTTGACGGGCGCCAAGCAGAATGTGTAACGGACCTTTAATGGCAATGGCACATGTTCGATCATGTCTGCCAGGAACTTCAGATCCTCCACATGGCACATGAAGAACTTACTCTCGTCGACAGAGCAGATGCTTACGAAGATGTCTATCAAGTTCGACAAGGTCGCCTTCGGCAAGTAGTAGGCAAACATTTCTATCTGTTCAATCGTTGGGTTTAGGCCGGCTTGCGTAATCGTCTCGACATCGCGAGCCATTATTCGCTGAAAAACAAAGGAACAATAAAATAGTCTATCAGTGCAACGGAGCCGTTCAAAATTGACTGCTACAAAAGCAAAATTTAATATCCAATTCAAAAAAACTAATTTCCCAAATAAATAATAATCTAACAGGTACTTTGAATCAAACTATCTATTTCATTCATTATTCATATTTCGTAGTTAAAGAAAACCATTTCTTTATTACGTTTAAAGTAAATATCTAAGCAAATAATTTCAAGTACATTTTATTTCATACGACAAAACTTCCAGGTTTATCCTGTAGACAGTGGAACACCAGTCTTTGGAAAAGTGACAAAAATATGCCGCTTGTCATATGCCGCAGTGGGTAACGTTTAGATTCTAGCAAAAAGAGTGAAACACAATGCAAGGCATTTTCATTACTCGTATGCTCCTTAATTACCTTCTAAAATAGTCGACTAGCGAGGTTCTGTCAACCGGAGGAATAGAAATATTTGAGATGTTGCTAAGAGAAAAACACTAACTTTAACCCCGGAGAGTAGGACAGGTAATAGGAACATGATCCTTATTAATGGTAAACGAAAGCGCAATTAAACATTTTAGAAATATGGTCTACCTTCGGAATACAGCTCATGGGCAAGATGAAGAAAAGATCCGAAAGATTCTTGATGCATGATATTACTATGCTGCTGTCTGCTGAGATCATCATCTTGATCTATTTGCCTAAGCAAAACATCTCTGGTTTGTAAGTTCGCCGCATTTGGAGCCTTCGCTCACTTCTGCTATAAGGCACTGAATACTGCATCGTAGAAGGAAACACTTCCATCGAAAAGCAGACCTGCCTCAACCTCGTTCGTCAATAGAGCACGCTGGCCTCTTGTTCGACGTCTGCCATGCCTCGGTTCCCACACGACAAGCTCAAGGGCTGGAGTACATGGCCTATTTTCAACCAATCTATCTAACAGGACCTCTTTCTTGTAATCTCCATATGTATCGAACAAGGAGTATCAAGTCATTTCCAACTTGCTTCTGTTATTTAACCCTCATTAGGTAGGAAGTTCATGCTCATTCGTTTATAACAATTGTGTTCATGCCGTACAACAACAGTTAACTGACACTGGCAAGGTACAGGCATATTCTTCTGGAAGAGTAACTCCTTTCTCAGCCCAACTTTTGACAAAAGCGCTCGATTTTAAGGTGATATTTCTATTTAACTCTGGCTTAGCGGTGCCGTCACTGAAGATGACAGGCTGAGACACAGAACTTGATCATCCTCCAAAAAGGTTTCGTCTCCCTTTTCCATTTGTACATCAGCTGTGCTAAAAAGGCTTTACATATATCTTGACTACAAGGCGTTGCATCAGTAGCCTTGCTTTTCAACATTTACGCCGGCGATGTCATCAATAAATACAAGAGAATTTACCTGATCACGGAGACTATATTCTAAAAACTGATCTGCAGATCCTAACAAAATCTATATATTATAACATAAAGATTTTGTCAATAAGTTTCACACAGATTTTCAACTAAAAAAGATAATTCTTTAGCAAGCAATGGAAATCACCTGCAAAACCGGCAAATCCTCGCTCCTCAGTGTCGTCACCTCTCCTCGTTGGTGCTCGGTTCCAAAGCGACCAGCACGACCGCCGATCTGCAGACACTGCGATGTCGAGATCACTTCCATTTCCAGTTCACCCGCGTCGTTCACCATCGGTTTGGTCAGTGAATTGAATATTACGCGTCTGATGCTCAAGTTCAAGCCCATGCCGATCGCATCCGTAGCCACCAGCACTTTGCATGAGTTGCTCGGGTCGTTGAACTTCTGCGCTTGAGCTAACTTGGTCGCCGGCGGAAGGCTGCCGTATATCACTGCCACCTCGTGACCATGGTTCTCGATCTGAAAACAACAAATAAAAACACAAAGCAGAAAACACTAAACTACCACAAAACATAACATATGCGGTGTACAAACTTATTTCTTTACCTGCCTCGTAACGTTGAACAAGTCGCTCTTGTTGAAAACGACGATGCAATCGCCGGGTCTAACATTGGCGAACGACTCGAGTGCCTTCGACGCGACCTGGAGGGGACTCATCCGCTTATAGTGTCGGACCTCAACTTCTTCACCGACCGGGTACAAAAGTTCTTTCACAACGTCAACCGCAGCCGCCTCGCCACACAAATGAATCTCTTGGGCATTCGCGCCCAACAAAGCCCGAGTCCATGCCCAACCTCGCTGGCAGTCACGTAACATCTGGATCTCGTCAATGACCGCAAGTTCGTAGGGCTCTGTCGTAGTCAGCATTTCGACCGTACATGCCACGTGGCCACATGGAGTGTTGTCCTTGTTTGCGTACCGGCGCTCTTCACCTAAATAACAGTTTTCTGCTACGTTACTGACACCACCGACTGGATGAGCACTACATGGGCAAATAAGACTATGGCCACCCTCTGCTCATCAGGTGGACATAGATTTCATAAGGGTTCGTATCGTTTAATCCT